AACCCTAATCCCTACACCCTAAATCCTAAACCCTAAACCCTAAACCCTAAACCCTAAACCCTAAATCCTAAGCCCTAAAAGGCCCTAAACCCTAAAGCCTCCCTGCATGGGCCTATAGAAGAACCCTGGATCAGGTACATTTCGAGGAGCTTAGGGTTATGGGCTATGGGTTTGGGGTTTAAGAGCAGGTACAGGGTCAAGGAAAAACCATTCGGAAATATGAAACTCCTAAAAAAATCCTACGACTCCTAAAATCCCATAAACCCTAAACCCTAAACCCTAAACCCCTAAGAAATGGGAACCCGAGGCCCCAGGCCTCTGGCGATCCTCACCGAGCCCCGACTGCTGGACTTTGAGACCCAAACTCCTGAATCCCAAAAGCTCCCAACTCGTGAGCCAAAGTCTTAAGCCCTTTGGGGCTTAGGGTTTAGGGTTTAGGGTTTAGGGTTTAGGGTAGGGTTTAGGGTTTAGGGTTTAGGGTAGATCGTAGAGGTTACGGTTTATGGGTTAGTTCGGGTATTATAGGGCCTAGGGAAACGATCCGAAGCCTCCAGCCAACAGCACTGGACTGAAGTCATCGTCACACGCCCATGGGTAGTTGTCAAAATTAGGGTCCCTTTTGGGGTAATAAGGACCCAAAAAGGGACCATAATTTTGACAACCACCCCCATGCAGACATCCCGGTGGCCACCTTCACTCCGCTGCCCAACTCCATTATCATGTGGCCTACTCAGATGGGAGTTTCAGAAACTTAGGGGTACCTTATTTTGGGGTCCTTATAATAGGGATCCTATTATTTAGGGTACTATATTAGGGTCCCCTATTTTCGGAAACCCCCAGATGGGACAAGGGCCGATAAGAGAGAGTGGGCTTGTCATAGGGTCCTCAGTTTCGGAGAACTTCATGGCTTCTGATAGGGCCTTTCGCCATGCACGGACGATAAAACGGTTGTTCTTCGAGAGCCAGGCCGTTGCGTAAATTTACACAAAGCTAGAAAGCCTGCAGAAACAGGGTTCTATATTCTATAGTCCCCTAAACCCTAAACCCTATAGTCTTCGAGGAAGCCGGCCACAGTCCTGCGATTGTGGTGTTCTACAACTTGCAGGGGCTCAGCTTTTGTGCTTGGACCTGCTAGAATAGGCACTGGCCCTATTCTGAGGCCCTGATCCACAAAGTGTGTTAGACCCCTCCTGGGATTCTGTCAACATAGGCGCAGAGCAGATGGGTTCAAGACTGTTTTGAGTCCATCCTTGCGACGATATCCATGGCCGTTATGTGGACACACCTTGCCAGCGCGGCAAGTCGGCTATGTGAGCCAATCAAGCCCTGTGAGCTGGAAACAAGTAAGAGCCAGCTGCAAGAGCAAGTGGCGCAGCTGCAGTCTGTGCTGGAGGAGATGCGGCACAGGCTTAATCACGAGCAGAGGGTTTCTGAAGAGCTGCAGCTTCAGCTTAAGGACGAAAGAACGAGACGGGAGAGACATCAGCGGACCATGCAGGATCAGCTCGACATCCAGTGCATTGAGATAGAGCGGCTTCATGCGCAGCTGGAGAAGGCCCAGGCAGTGCGGCTACAGAAGAGGGAGCTATTGCCCGAACCACAGGACAAAAGCAAGTCGGAGACTATGAAATTCGATGTGTGCAAGGCGCACGAGAGCGAGAAACAATTGTTAGCAGCTCTCCTCGACCATGCCTGCATCCGATGTGCCCGTGAGAATTCGGCGAGAGAGGAAGGGAGCATCTTGCAGGAACTACGCAAAGAGCTGGAGGTGGCTCAGCGCAAAGCCTCCGAGGAGCAGAAAGCTGCAGAAGCGCTCCGGGAGAAGTTGCAGAACGAAGAGGCCGTACGCCATGAGTTGGAACAGTTGAATGAACTGCAATGGTCCTACTACTTGAAGGACTTTGATCGCAACAGGGCCTTTCGAGCCGAAGTGACAGAATTCCTGCAACAGCTAGGACAACAATATCCTGGCATGGCAAAGGAGCTGGCCACAGCAAGTGCAGAGCCACTTTCTCCGTATGGAGCTGGAGGAGGCTAAGGCTGACATGGGTTTCACGATCACAAGCCCTTTGGGCTGAAACTGCAGAGTTTCTGCAGCTGCTGGGGCAAGGACACCCGACGTTGCATGATTTGGCTTAGGCGTATGCGTAGACATACACAAGTTCATCTGCCTGTTAAACGAGAATCTCCAAGAGATCACGACCAGCATCAATTGGTGCGTTTCATAGCTTGCACAGCAGACGAGAAAGGTCGTTTTCCTGCACCTTGAACCCGGCTGAACCCGATCCCCTAAACCCTAGACCTTCACCGTGCCCTCAAAATCCAAACCAGGAGCAAACACCGACGACACTCTTGACTCACAGTATCATCACGCCCTTGCAGTCCCTAGCTAAGTGGGGTTCTACTTTATTATACCCCAACACCCTATCTTATTGTCGTCCTACATAGTTATACTGAAATTTGCCGCCTCCCTGAAGAAAACTCATAAACCCTTTTGTGCTTAATAGGGCCCTGTGATGTTTCACCGGAGCCCCAGAAGCTTCACGACATTGAGGTGCAATGCATCGGCCATCGCGATCTACATCCGAGAACCTACACCGGTGGAACGAGACCGGGGCTCAGCTGTCCCCCAAAGTTCTGTTTTATTGGTTTAGGGTTTAGGGTTTAGGGCTCCTGCTGCTTCGCGGGTTTACAGCTTCATATGCGGCAGGGACGTGCGGTTGGTTTGGAAATCAACGGCAGCTTGCCGATCGATCTGGAAAGAAACGATCGTTTATATCAGGGGTTCCTTGTACAAAAACTGACTATCGTTGGGTGGCGGTTTTGGCGCGGGGCTTAAATCTACATCGAAGCCCTGAGACCAGAACCTCAGTTCACGAACGTAAGACTTTTCGAAGCGAACGCATGACCTCAGACCTGTCGTGGCGGGATATGTTTGGCCATGCATTTACTGTACCTATGTTGGCAAGGGTTTTCTACAACAAGTTTCCAAGTGACTGCCGGGACTCGCCGTGCAAAGATGAAGCAGAACATCCTCCGCCTCATGTGTTCGAAGCTGCTTAGATTAGATGTGCACCGCTGGGCTAAACATGGCTAAACTCCAGGCTCTAGACTCTGAACTTTAAGCTGAAACCGTAGGTTATCAAGCCGGATAAGAAGCCGGGGTCCAGAAAGATATCTGGTCGAGGGGCTTGCCGATTAGGCCTTATGCTTGACAGGCTAGTGGAGTCTGGGGATTGAGGGTTCCAGGGTTTTGCGGCTAGGGCGTGTTACTTCTACTATCGTCATAACGACTATTGTTATCCATGTTATCATTTTTACTTTGGCTATTCTTACACATCCCCTGAAAGTTCCCGGCCATCGACGAATGGACAGCACTTTTCTGCTGCATCTGTGGCAGTCATGAAGCCGCCCTAGTTCTGCTGAAAAGTGCGGAAAAGTCCGATAGTCTGATGGGCATGAACTTGACAGGACCCCCTCCCTTCTTCCCCCACTGATCCCCACTCCCTCCACAGCCAAAAGAGCATTTGTGCTATAGGACTACTACATTGAGTTCGGGCTGGACATCTACAACCCGCTGAAGTCCAGCTCTCGGTCGTGTAGCGCTGCACTTCCGCTCTCGGTGATTCTCATTGTAGCAGAGAAGGGACACTGATTAGGGTTTAAGGTTTAGGGTTTACTTGGCTTGCGTAGCCCATGATGATGAAGCGAGTTCTTTGCACGTGTGTGCAGGACGCCTCCTCTGACCGACAACTTCTGGCAGTGTACGGTCTACAGCCCACGCCTCACGCAGTCGGGTTGGTGCTATGACGCAGTGCGTGTAGCTCCCAGCAGCGTTTTCGAAGCGGGATCCTGTAAAATTCTCAACCCTTCAATGGCTATCCTGAGACCTACAAATCCAACACAACTTATACACATCTAAACACTCTAATCCTTTGTCCTGTGAAGACACCCTATAGACCCTCCAGTGCAAGGCGCAAACTCCGACTCCAACGGAAATCGCATCATCAAGGCGTCCAAGGTGCCGTGGACAGTCTTAGGGTTAAATGTGCCAACCTGGACTACTCCTGAGAGTACCTTCTACCAGCTTACAGATATGTACCGTTCCGCAGGGTTCCCTATCCAATATACAACAAAATGTACCAAAACAAAATTAGAATAATGAAGGCCCGTATATTAGCGGCCTCTTGCTTAATCTCAGCTGTAGGTCTGACTCCGGCTTCAAAGGGCGAGGGTTTCCAAGGGGGGCCAGGAATTCCGGATTGCAACATCCTTCTTCTTCTGGGGCTGAAACCCTGAACCCTTCACTGCGCTCAAGTTGACGGTGCATGTCAAGCTTATGCTCTCAAACTATTGCAGCCTGAAGATACAGAAACCCACAAAAATCAGAACGGGCCTCCGAAATTCAGGCACTGCGACAATTCTGGTTCTGACGCAGGTAGTTCTGCATCTTGGAAGAAGGATCACAGATTGCTTGTCATCACCGTTCCGAAAAGATCGGAGCTCTTCTTGACAAGGTTGTGCCCCTTAAGATCCAAGCATGGCTTCAGGGTGTAGTTACAGTAGGGTTTTCTGTCATGTAGATCCTCAGCATATCTCGACTAAGAGAACATAGCATTGTTTGTTGGTGTAAAGTGTGTAAAGCCTAAACAACCAAACATCCCTAAGACGAAGATCGTACAAAGCTTGAAACCCTAAAGCCCTGAAGCTCTAAAATCTAAAACCCTAATTCTACACCCTGATAGTGAGCTTATCATCGTATAACATGGTACACCATAGCATATGATAGCAACTTAGAGAACTTAGAGCACATGTATGTTCCACGCGTACTGCAGCATGTCATAGAGCTTTCTGGCACACTATCGTATATTGTGGGTCCGAATCCCCTTCAGCAGTTCAGCTAATAGCTTTTGCAGAGGCGTTCCAGAGCTGGGACATCGTACCTCAGCTCGAGAACTTAGAGGCGCGTCTTGGGATTGACGTTGCCCGGTGCATTTTGGGTTTTTGCTTGTGTTTCAGGGTTCCGGGTCTGGGGTTTAGAGGTTTCAGGGCCCTGAACAATAAACCCTGAACCCTAAACAAGGTGGTCCATGCTGCTGCCCAAATGGGCTGGACGACTCTGAGTGATCGTGCTGACACCAAAAGGCCCTCAAACAAAAAGAACCTTCGAACCCTGTACCTATACTATTTTAGGGGTGCCTCATTATAAGTCTAGTATAAAGGACCCAAAGCCAGATTCTAATTATTCAGGCCCTTATTTTCGGTTTATGGTTTAGGATTGGGTTTGATTTTGACTTCCGGTTCGATGCAGCTGGCCTGCATTCTGGCTGCATTGTTTCTGAGCCTTGCTAGTGTTCCTCTCTTCCTCGCATTGCATCCTAAACCTTACATCCTAAACCTTAAACCCCTGAACCCGAAATCCTAAACCCCTAAACCCATGAATCCCAAACCTTAAACCCTAAACCCTTAACCCCCAGCAAGACATGCCAACCCCAGCGGGACAACCTAGTGTTTCCCCATAGGGTTTAGGGTTCAGGGTTTAGGGTTTAAGGTACCTTAACCCCAAACGCAATCCACTGTTGCCTGAAACCCTACCTGGACCCGGAAGAACCTACCTTTGTGATTTCTTCATGTCTGTCCCAAGGAGCCAAAGTCTGTGAAGCATACTACCAATAGTAATCATACTAATATCAATGTTAGTACTACAAATCATCAATAGTAATAGTGGTATGGTAACAATCTCAATAATAATGAAAATAAGAATAAGAACAATACTATGTGCCAGTGGCTCCCCTGCTCGGAGCTTGCAGCAAATCCTGCAGGAGCCACTGGGCCCAGCCTGAACGGATCTCGGTTCAGGGTTCAGGGTTTAGGGACACCGCATGTAGCATGTAGGAACCTGATTCAGACACCCTGGCCCTAGAGCACCAAAAATATTAGGGCTCAGAATATAGAGAACCCTAGCAAAGACCCAGTGTTTCTTAATCAGGTTCCTATATTTGCCACAAGGGTAGCGTGTTCGAGGGTTTAGGGGTTCAAGGTCTACAGGTTTGACTGATAGGGTCTATGGAGCTACGGTTTATGAGACTTGTGTCAGGCCTGAGGCCGGCTCTTGTGGCACATGTTCAGGAATCTGAAGGCTTAATTCGAATCAAAGGCTCCGAAACTGGCTATCGTCCCCAGCTCGCACCCCCACCCCCCAAATCGCGACGGGTCTGCCCCCCGAAGCCCTACGCTGCCCTCAACCTCAAAACCTAAACCTTAAATTTCCTTAAATACCCCTGAGCCCCCAGTTACCTACTATATAGGGCCTTAGGGGCTCTAGTACCTTATGTAGTAGGTACCTGGGGGCTTAGGGTACCCTACCCCTAAATCCCCGCATTCAATGCAACCCCACGTCCGCAGCAGCAGGTGCGACTGCTGGGGCCAAACACAGCGGCGGAGACTTTGCTCGCAGCCCAGTGATGGTCACACAAAGGTGTACGAGATTAGGAGCCTGAGTCGTTAATAATACTATCCCCTTCTAACCCATATAGACCTATGCTGTCACAGTTAAATACCCCAAACCCTTTTCTAGATATTAAGGCCCCTCAGCCAGGAGTTTGCTCGTGCATCCTAAATCCTAAACCCTAAACCGGAGATATCTCGGGGACTCCCTGGGACCAGCTGCACTAGGAGGAAAAAGCTTGACCCATGGGAACCCTTAAACCCTAAAACCTAAACCCTAAACCCCAAAACCGAAACGCTAAACCCTAAAACCTGAACCCTGAACCCCAAAACCTAAATTAAACGCTAAATCCTAAAACCTAAAACCCTAAGAGCCAGAACCCTGAACCGGTGTTTCGAAGAGTTTACGCTTGGGGTTCATTTGAGTAGGCTCTCAACTCGTCGGGTCGGGCCTTCAGGGCTTGGGCGGTTTCAGGGTTCAAGATTTAGGGTTTGGGGTTT